GCGGGGGGGCATCCCGCCATACGGCGGCGGCGGTTTGTTTTGAGTCGGTGGCGGACCGGCAGACATTCTCCCTGGCTCTCGCGAAGTATCGGCGGGTGCAGAAGGGTGACGCTGGTGGTAGCCTTGGGGTGTACCGTATCGTTGTAGATCGGGTGTGGTCGCGAAGGGGCCATGAGGTGATGGCGCAGCACTGCCTCGGGGATCGTATGGTCGTGGATGGTCAGGAGTTTGAGGTCGGCGAAATGAAGGATATTCGGATGACGCAGAAGGCAACCTTGGCGAAGCTTGCATGGCAGGTCCATATCCCGGCCCTGATGATGGCGGGGGGGCGTGAGATGAGTAGTGTTGCGCAGGTTGTGAATCACGGGAAGCCGGAGGCGGTCCACCGAGCATAGAAGATATCGACATGGAGCTTCCAGCGCCGCTACCCGACCTGGTAAGCGAGCTCAAGGCCGGCAGCTCCCTCCCAGATGGGAACGAAGTTGATGGCCCAGCAGAAAGGGAAGGCGGCCGAGGCGGCATCGGGCCGTAACTCACGGAGCTCTGCGACTGCTGGTGATGATGATGATGCGGCGGCGGCTGGCCCCCTTGCTGGCCCTGTGAGGGCGAGCTCGGCGGAGGAGGCATTACGCGACTCTTCTCCCTGGCGGACGGGAGCGAAGGCAGCGACGACGCGCTCTGCGCGCGCGAGTGTGAATGCGACTGCGACTGCGAATGGTTGTGGCCAAGCTCCGGAGCTGGCAAGCTGGCGCGGCCGGCCGGCGGGTAGTACGGGGTGTCTGAGGCCCGACGAGGGTCGGCAGCATACGCGGAGACGGGTGCAAAGGTGTGCGTCGCGAATGGGTGATGATGAGCCGAGTGCAGAGGCGGCGGCACGACGATCGAGGCGGGAGGAAAATGAGAGGCGGCGTTGGAGGCTGCATTCGAGACGGAGTTGGAGTTGAAGTTGGAGTTGGACCGTGGCACGGGAGCAGGCTGGCGGTGTCTTGGATCCATGGTCGTGCCGAGTTTTTAGCTCGAAAAACCCGACTGTCCGATGGGGCACGGCGGCAGGCTCCACTTGCACAGCCAATGAGATGCAGGAACAGGGATGCGAGCTGAGAAAAAAACGGGTCAGAAGAGGCGACGGGAAAGCTGCTGATGGCCCCCGGATTCCAGGGACACGCGCACCAGCGCCTGACCGACGAGACCGACCGACGAGACAGACAGGCCCACGACAGGCCCTTCGTCAGAGGCGTCCTGTCCTGTCAGAGTCGGCGCATCGCACTTGGGGAAGTAGTTGAGACGTTGGCCCTCTTTCCGTGGATCGCAGGGCTCACAGGCCGCCGCAGGAGCTGCTCCTCTGACGCTGGACGGGTCGCAACTTCAAACTAGACAGCCGACGCCTCCTGCGAATGAAGTCTGGTGGCGGCGATGGCGAAATCAGACCGAGCGAAGAGGAAGTGAGAGAGGTGAGAGAGTGAGAGAGTGAGAGAGTGAGATCAAGAGGGTGCCAGCGAGGACGGCCGTTGTTGAGGAAATTTGCGGTCGGTTGCACGCATGAGACGCCGCAAAGCCCACATGCGGCACAGATGGAGACTCGCGATGTGACGAGCTGCTTCCTGAGGACTGGGATGTGGCGCCCAAAGCCAAGGACAGCAAAGCACTTGAGACCACCAACTTTAGAATAGTATGTTGCGGTCGCCGAGCTGGGCGTCTGAGGAGACAGCCTACATATGTAGGCCACCTTGGAGCGCCCGCTGGAACAACAGTACGTACAGTGACAAGACCCGGCCCCGTCGTGGTATCGTCATGGAAAGGAAAGGTGCTCTGTGAACTTGACCGAGTTGCCAAGGCTGTGGCACAATCTGGAGTCAGATGCCACCGGCAGCTGAGGATGGAGATGAACCCCAGACAGTCGCGAGATTGTGGTGGTGGTGGCCGGGTTGGGACGGAGGCTATTTACCACAATGCTATTGGATCATCGTTTCCGCCCGGATCTATACCTGGCAACTCGGGTAAACGAGCAACGTCCCGCGCTTCACTGATTGAGGCAATGTGCCATTTCTGAAGACTTGGGCGAACAAATGGATCTTAACGGCTGGATGCTAAATATATTTTACTTTACCATACCGGCGGGCCGCAGGAAAACCACCTCCTAGGTACCCAGTAAGTTATGTCTGAAGGACGCAGAGTACCTCACAAACACCAGTGAGCCAGACTTTCGTTCGTTCTCTGTAATTTCGGGGTCTCCCGCAACTCACACGAGTTAGTCAACAAGTACTCCGTATCCAGGCGGCATTACTCCGTACAGGGAACGTAGGTATCAGGGCCGAGCGTTTCCATTAGCGACCATGCTTGTCCGTCATGTTCATCCGCGGCTGTGGCGTATCCACCAAGCATCGCGACATAACAAGTCTGTCGCGAGCAACTGCAAGAAGCGATTGGGAAAATGCCACATGCTTGCGCCGGGCAACCACAGCAAACACGGGCCTCTCCATCTCCAAGCTGCAGCCACCCGCGTTGAGCGTTGAGAGTTGTTGGCGGCAGTTCTCGTGTGACACCCTCAGGAACGACGGTTTCGAGGTTGCAGATCGACGGTTACACAAGGAAAATGGTTGGTTGACAGATGGCCAACAAAGACCAGTTGGGAGACAGAAGGGGACAGCTTGAGCTGGGGCAGGGAGCTAGACTGCTAACCGGGACCCGGCAACATCGGCGTCAGAGCATTGCAGCGAAGCTCGCGGGGAAGGTCAATACAGACGGTGGCGGTGATGGCGATGATGACGATGACGACGACGTTGATGATGATGCCTCGAGATTCCAGAGCTGTCAGTGTCTGCCTTTGGCGTTCATCGGGGTGAGGTTGATCTACCGAAACCCTGCGTTACGCTTGCTGCAGCTTGATGCATTTTGAGTCCGACGAGCCATCACACGAGTCGCATTCCGGAGCTGTGAAGAATAACTGCTAACGGTTAGTATTATGCACTAAACTTGTCAACATGCATGCATGCATGGCATTGCACCTGTGTTTCTGCGATGGACCGTGACACCAAGAAACCTGCAACCACTGACGGCGCACGCAAATGCGCATCACAACTGACGACCGTCATTCTCCCACCACGAATGACGCGACGCCCGAATGAGGCATCAATCGCCTGAAAGGACCCCGCCATCCGCGAATTTTAACAATCATATTGACACATCTCCAGCTCCATCGATTGTGCGGATCTGGAGCCCAGGTGCAGGTTCAAGGTTCACCACGTGCAACGTCCAATGTCCAAATGTCTACGGAGTAACGTAGCCCCTCTCGCCCAGCTCCTACTCGTCAACTGCATGTGGTATCCAAAACGAAGGAGCAACCGAGCACCGGACCGCATGATTGACTCCTTTGGGAACAGTGAAAGTGCAGAAACACCATTTTGCAGATACACATGCAAACTCTGACGACCACACATTTCATATATCATGTGAACGAGAAAATCCTGCTTCTTGGCTGGTTGGCTGACGCACAAATGTCCAACGATATCCCTTGTCAAATTTTCCTTGCCTTTCCTTTCTTTCACTCTCCGCATCGTTGAACCGAACCAGCCCTACCACGACTAGCTGTCGACACCGCCGAGCTTCTCATGTCGGTCAAGGGGCACATCCCGGCAAGGTCCCGGAGCCTAGTCAAGGGTGAAAATTGCCCCCATTCATCGGTTAGGGCCGACCGAAAGGGCACTTGATACCGAAACCACCCAACCATTGTTCATCTTTTGTTCGGTGGATCAAAGGAGGCGCCGCTGGTGGCTGCGCCCAATCTGTGGGCTTAATCTTATTCCTGGGCCATTCAATGCTCAAGGTCGTCGCTGGTTTCAGCTGCAAAGTCGATGGACACAGCCCGTGATCAGAGATGGTCAAGCCAACAAAAAGAAACTAGTGACGTAAATTGGGCTGCCTCTCCCGAAATTCAATTGCACCAAACTTGCCTTTCATCATGATACCTTTATGACATCGATCATCACATCACACTTTAGTCCCGAACCTCGATTCCCATCCACACTGACGAAACAACACTGTGTGTCCCAAGATGAGACTTTCATTCACCTTTTTCCTATCACTTATCGCCTTGGCCGTGTGCGATGACTTCACCTGCGGTGACACCCTATACGGCCCTAGAAAGCTCAACCCGACGATCACGAAAGCATGCGATTTGTTGAAGGAAGGCAGCTCGGTTGGAAGAAATCATTATCCGCACGTGTACAAGAACTTTGAGAAGATTCATCTCACCGGCAGCGCTCCTTACTACGAATTCCCCCTTCTCCCAGTCGGTGTATACGATGGCGATGGTGAGTATTTGCGTTTCCCACCAGTTTCCGACCCTGCCCAACCTATGGAGGGCCACGGCGATAACTATATTTGGCTAACAATACTCAGGTTCTCCTGGACCCGATCGAGTCATTATTACCCAGGATTGCAAGCAAGCAGGTGTCATTACTCACCACGGCGCGGCCAATAAAAATAGTTTTGTCCCTTGCTCGCCTGCTTCTGTTGTTTCCTTGAACAGCCAGTCTGTCTTTGCTCTCTGTTTCGCGATGATGCTTCACGCAGTCTTTGCCTAAAAAACTACCGAGAACATGCCTCGTATTTATGACGGACGTGTACAGTGTGGCGGAAAGATGCGTGACGTAAAGTGAGCACTAGCATTGGCACAAGGAATATGGACATGAATGTCATCGAATCTGGTGTGGAAAAGTCAGGGGCACGGTTGGGTACGATGTTTTTGGTTTGGGGGGTGGGGGGTCCCTGGATGACTTGGCTTGGTGTTTTCCTGATCTCCAGAGTGACAAGAAACCGTCCGAATCACTTCATATCTGTATGTAAGCTGAAAAAAAAAAGCCTATTGCAAATGTCTGTAGAGTGATAATCGGATTATCTTGACGGTTCATAAGACTTCATGCGATACAAGAGAGAAATATGGTTGAAAGCAACAAAGATGCTGGCCAAAAGTCCAAGGCTTGCCAGATGTATCTCAAACAAAAAGACGTTGGATCGCAGAAGGTTCAACACTACACCATCTCTTCAAAACACTGCACGATGCCAGTGTGCGAATGACAACCACAACATCCATGAACACGCATATGCAATATCGGGTCTTTTATCGGTAACAAAAGGTCGGGCATCTACTGGGCCAAGTCAGCATTTCTGTGGAAACCCCGGAATATGCAACGTAGGCACATCGTTTGACTCGGTGTATCATGATGCAGACTGCTTCTCGCAATGCTATATACCTACCCAGCATCTAACCTATTTCTGGTTACGCAAAGTGATTTTCGCTGCGAGCCGCTCGTCTGCAGTTGACAGCCAGCTAGAAACTCAAGTCTCGCCAAACCTTTCTCACGCATTGCGTGTTGCAGAACTACATCTTTCCTCCGAGGGTTGCAGTTTGTGTTCCACGACGTGCGACAGAGACATGGCGAAGACTCTATGGGATTACGTTCGCGATGCCTGCGGACAGTGCAACATCAGCATTCCAAGTGACAAGCTCCCCTTCAACAACAACCAAGATATGAAATCTTCCATCATTGATCCTGAAGGCAGGAACCGAGTTCTCTTATTTCCAGGAGCGTTCAATCCCGCCCACGAGGGCCACCTGCAACTTCTGCGAAGCGTTCTCAACGATATGAAGAAGAATCTCAACATCAGGGGAGTCGTCATCTTCCCCAACGATGACGAAAAAATTCGCGAGAAGACAATGGAAGAGCCGGTTGACCTCGATTTAAACAAATCCAAGCGCTCAGCTCTTTGGAGAAATGCTGCTGGGTTCCCTGCAAACAACGCATGGATATTCGCAGAGTCGCGCTCGGCCCTAACAAGGTTCCAGGAACAATTGCAGGGTAACCTGACAAAAGAGAATATCAACCTGACGTTTTTACTTTTAGTTGGCTCAGACTGGATAAGCACTCGGGCAGTTTACGATCCCGGCCAGTGGAATTGCAGCGAGACGATTACGTCGGATGTGTCTAGGCCTGTGGATTTCCGGTGCGAATATACGCTTCGACAGATTCCAGGCTGCTTCGATTGGGTTCAAAGGTTTTTTGCGGAATCTGCTCCTTGTATTCCTTGGGATCCTTTTCAAATATCATATGGATGTAAGTTGTAAGGCTTCTTCTTTCGTGGGCGAGCAAACAAAAAAGAAAGAAAGAGAAAAAAGAAAAAAAAAAGTGAGCGCTGGCTGACCTGTCGTTCAAGCTCGCATCATGGAAGGGGTTAGTCTATGGTCGACATCGACAGTCACAACACCGGTTCGGCGGTACTACCTGGTGCCTTGCCTGCGTGCATGTTCTCCCGGTACGCCATATCCAAGCTCTACGAGTATCCGTCAAAGGATATTCGAGGCTTGTTCCGAACGTCTCCCCGTAGATGAGGCTGTTTTGGCAACGGCTTTATCGCCAGACACTCTGCTGGGGTATATTCGGGAAAATATGCCTTTTCTTGATGAAGAAGAGGTGAAGGGTGAGGAGTCGTAGGGCGTGTTGTGAATAAGTGCACTTATGCGAAGTTGCTGATGCGGTTATGGCTGGGCTTCGCTGGTGGAACAAACAACCTGGGTAGGTTTGTCGTGCGTGATGGCACAGAGTTTAGCAAAGGCAAACTCGAGTAATAAATAATTGATTTAATTTTATCGGTTTTCCCACCGCCGCGGGTCACAGCGGGAGAGCATTGCTACTGATTTTCTTGGCCAAATATCAGCATACCCTATAGGCGACTTGTCCATACCTTGGGGTCGGGTCTGGTGTTTTCAACTGCCGCGTCTCCGCAGGCATCTCACCACTCAAGTGCCGTCTCCCCCTTTTCTTTCGTAAATAGCACTCGAGGTCAATGGTTCTGTCGGATCTCTCTCCGTACACCACCTTCTACGGCCATTCGACCACCAACCAAGCCAGCAACTCTCAACACGACAGGAGAACACAATGGGATCAGGCGACATACCGCCCCCTTCAGCGCCAGCCTGGCTCATCCCGGCATCCTCAGCCCTCCTCGGCGCCGGCGTCGTCTTCTGGCTCATCTGCTACGTTCTCATGACTAAACGCTCACTCAGCACTCGCGACACGCCCATCCCGCTCCTCGCCCTGGGGATCAACCTCTCATGGGAGCTCGTGTACGCCTTCTACGTGACCGAGGAGTGGCTCGAATTCGCCGGGTTCGTAATGTGGCTCGCTCTCGACATGCCTGTGCTGTACACCACCCTCAGGTACGGACGCAGGTCGAATGCCACCTCGCCACTGGTCGCTCGCAATGTGCCCCTGCTGTTGGGCCTAGTATTCGCCTCTGGGCTTGTCACCAACAGCCTATTCGCGTCGTGGTGGCTCAAGGAGCCGCATCGCGGGTCCGGCCTCAAGTTCGGCAAGATATGGAAGGGTCTCGAAGCAAGAGATACGACAGAGTTGGCCTGGTGGTCTGCTGGCGTAGCACAGATGATAATGAGTGTTGGTGCATTGGGCATGTTGCTTCAGCGAGGGCATTCCGGTGGTCAGAGCTATGCGATATGGTGAGTCGGTTGTCTCTTACTTTCTGCATCTGTATCGCCCTTGTCGGTGTTGGCGATACCGCCTGCGAGGTGATGCCATGGAATAATCCGTCTCGTTTGTCGTTTTCTCTGTTCTTGCTATCCTTTCTTATCGCAGCCCGTGAGAGGATAACTTTGCAATCGTGTCTGTTGGGCCGTCTTCTCTTTTGTCACATTTCTTTTTTTTTTTGGTTCAGGTCACCTTGGACGGTGACCCCATGTTCCGAAGCTGAACAATATCAACGACCCAACACACAACTCCCTCCGCTCCCCACCAACGGGCCATACAAATTAGCCGATATTCTGTAAGGCTGTCTTATCACATCGCCCTTCGCCAGTGCTTCCTGTTTCTCCCGGAGAATTAGTTTGCTTTTGCTCACTTTTCGGGCCGATGAATTTGCCTCTGTGCTACGCGAGCCACAGCACTCAACATAAGAGTCAGAGCTTATAATATTCCTAGTGAGTGAACTTGTTGGCTGACTGGGCTTCTTGGCCTTCCGATAGGTTCACCCGGTTTCTCGGGACGCAACTTGGTCTTCCTGGGACGTGTGTACTTCTATGGTGGTTCTGGCCCGAAGCACACGGGTTCGTATTTCATCCCATCTCTGTAATCATTGTTGGGACTTCTTTGCTTTGCGACTTGGCCTATCCGTTTCTTCTGGCACATGTCAGAGCGACGGAGAGGATTCTTCCTGACGGGACAATCGTGGCGGGCGATTCTGATATCAAGCACCGGAAGAGTCAGTAAAACAGTGGCCGGCTTTTACAGAAATAGAGCGAATGGGATTCAGACATAGACTAGATTCTTACCCTTGACGGTCACAGCTCAGGCTTCGATGACTAGGCGCATTTCTGATCTGCAGCCACCACCCACCCGGATGCCAGATTTCCCGTCTTGTCATCGCCGCTCGACAGAACCAACAAACTGTCAACGCCAGCTCGGTCCCGAATGTGGTCTTTTCCATCCACCGTTGTTGTGCCCACCGTTATTGTGCCCACCGCCGCCGGCCCTGTCTATTTGCAGCCGTTGGAGCCGCCATCATTCCACTCATGCCCGGCGTTTCCCCCAGACCTGCGTAAGATCGGCTCAAATCAGGCAAGACAATTCGTCAGTCAACGACTCGAGCGGGTTCACCTTGATGGCCCGGTAGCCGAGACGCCACCTTTGTTGGTTGACGGCGTGAACCTGCCCTGTTCACCAAGGTTGCCTATTTTGAAATTGTCTGACTCATTTAACAACTCTTGTCCGAATTGTTGTAGCCCCCCGTAAAACTCCGCCGTCTAACAGAGGAAAAAGCATTGCAGAGTCAGCGTGTCGGTATATTAAAGACGCACAAGCACCAATGGGGAAAAGGGTCTGGAGCAAATTGGCATAGCCAACAAGCGAAAATAAGCATTTTCTGGGGACGCTGTGACTGCATCGAACGTCAAGAAGACGCAAAGATGCATAAGCGCCGCATGACTAGGTGGAGATGTGTCTTTTTCGATATCAACAAAGCCTCATTCATGCATTGGAAGCGTGTGGGGTTCGTCTAATGTTCTCAATCAGCGCATTACAGCTACACCCCCGTTACAGAAAGCATCAATGTATCTACGGCATGACAAGTCACTGCCAAGTCCAACAACAGCTGTTGCATTCTGCCTGTCAGAACATCTCCGAACACCTAGCTCACACGCCTTTCGCCCAAACGGCTTGACGGGGCGCATTCCCGTCCACTCTCGTCCCTAGTCTAGTTGTCGACGAGGGCCCAAGTGAAAGAAAACTATCCCTCGTGTAATAATCTTTCTTCTAGAGATGCCACACCCCATGACACCTCGTTTCATTGCAAAGAAGTCATCATGGTTCTTGGCAACGTTGACGCACTTGACTTGTTCCCAGAATGGAGTCTGGTTGTATTGAACAAAAGTCACCTGACAAACGTCTCATGCGAGGACCCTAGTCTCAGGTTCTCGACGTACATACATACCTGTACTTTTGCCCTCAAATCCAGGGTCACAAATGCACACCCCCCAATTTGCCTTTAATTTTTCCTCTATTCCCAACATGAATGCGTATCCCGCCAGAAGACAGACGTGCGGAGCAGCAATAATTGTCTCTTCAACGAGTTCAATCGATTCGTTGCGTGTAGCTCAACTCGGCTGGCACTCAGCGGTAGGGTGTCGTTACATGTCCATGACAAATTGTCCAGACATCTAATTCCAAGTCCGAATCAAGGGGAAGTAGCTCACGTCAGATAGAGGACAAGGCGGCAGGCAACCGTTTGCGAATAGTTTGATGTCTCCTAGGGTTGAGTTTGGCATGCACTAGAAGCAACGCCTGTCGATGCCTACGTGGAGAAGGAAAAGGCAGACAGCAGGGCTTTGCAGCGTGCTGGTTGCAAACGGCGCACAACCCGACCCCGGCATTCGCTTGGAAGTGTCAATGAGTGCCAAAGCTGCAGGCGTCAACGTTGTAAAGAAGGACCGCCAAGATGCCAGCGTCTGGGGTGCGAAATTGTTGTCAGAGAAAGGCTTCGACCAGGCAAGCTGCCTGCCAGACACTAGGCATAGACGCGAAAAGAGATGGCAACCGTGGATGGATGATTGGGCCATCGAGAATGCATAAAGAGTGGATGACAAGCCCGTCAAACGAAATAGAGTTCGTTCATGCATAGAACTTGAAGCATCAACCGCACGAGGAGTTTGTGGTGGTGGGGGGGAGACGATCATCAACGCAGGGACGTGGGGAGTCACAGAGCACATGGACTAATGCACGCTGGGCCAACGATTTCACACCAAGTCTGCCGATTTGTTGCATGATAATACATACCGGATACGCTGTGCGCCAACCGCAGTCATGGGGAATGGGGATGATGGACGGACAGGGCAAGCAACGAATTGACAGGGCTCGGCATTTAAGCAAGCAAGAGGGCAGTCACATTTGGCGGACGTGGGCTATTCTAAGAATAGTGCACCAGACACGTATCTACGCCAAACTGTTTGTTGGTGATGTCGACAACGGACTAAAGGAGCCTGTTGGCAAGGCTGTTGTACAATCTTGTTCATATATTCGGCAAGCCATCGGACGCCGGGCAGTTGGTCATGTTGGAAAAGAGAACGCCAACAAGAGTCACCAACACACCCATCTAGGTAAAATTACTTGCCTAGAAAAGCAGTCAACCTTTTTCGCCTTCATTTCTTTCTCTCCGTCTCTCTTAATCATTGCGGCCGGCCGGCCACCCGCTGCGCCTCTCCAAGTCTAGCGCAAAACTGCGCTCATTGATGCGTCATTCACACCAAAGAGGGACAGATTTTTCTCCTTCTCAATTTTTTTGGACTTACACACGCTCAGACCCTGGTTCCTGTTCAACGGCCACGCATTAGTCGAAAGTATAAATGGCACCAGTACGACCAAAAGGCAGAAGCGGATGGGCGGCACCCGCGCCGCTGCCGGGCTGCAGCAAGGGCCAGTAATAGGGTAGGATTGGGCCGGCAGTTTTGCTGCTGGTGAATCTTGGCAGACAAGGCAGTTGAATTTGTGATGGGTGCTTCGAGTGCAATACGAAAATACGCGATGACGTGCTTATTTTTTTTGTCATGGGAAAAGGGGAGGGGACCCCGGTGAGCAGCGATTTGCATGTCTTGATGGGATTTACCCCTCCCAACTCTGTACTGTACAGCCGAGGGATATGTCGGCAAGAAAAGTTTTGCATGGCCAAGCAGTACCGAATGAACACGGTAGTAGACGATTCGGAACGTCGGCGTATCAACGGAAATGAAGTTTTCGGCTCCCACCGTCGGAGGGAAGACGGTTAAGGTGTTCCGAATCCGCCATTTTTCACAATTCGGCAAGGGAAATCGGGGGTGTCCTTTTCGAGACGTTGCGCCGTTTCTAGACAGAGTGCCTCATCACAACTGTGTTGCGACGGATTTGCTGTTGCAAATATGTTGTTATTTGTCGAATGAAGAAGCAGGTTCGGCAACTAGGCCGTTTGCCGCACGCAAGACTACGCAACTCTACAGAAATCTCTACCCTTTTTTTCTGCGGAGCGCAATGACAACATGAAAGTGTATTCTGCACGTCTCGACCACTTTCGGCGTCTCCAAGCCCCGATTTGGCTAGTACTTGGCTCGGGCCGGATCCACCCAAGACTGGGAAGAAAGTTCACGATGGCGTTCGACTCAAGGCACGGCACGAGAAAAAAACGCCTCCCCGACCGAAAAGAGCGCTTCTTAAAAAGTGACCCAATATTACCCGGCGGACCCTGATTTTGAAACCTCACACCCTCGGCACGCAAAAGAAAGTGCCGTCATTCATGATTCATATCATAGCTCTTTCTCCGCCTGGTGCCGCTCTAGTCCCGTGGATGGATGTGGCCCTGCATGCGCGACAAAGGGACGAGTGGATATTGTTTACGCAGTCTCTCACAAATATCGACATGATATTAATATGGCGCCGTCTGCGGTGTTTTGTTTTCGATATTGCGGAATGGACCAAGTATTCATGGTGGGATTGCGATGCAATTACAAGTGTCTCGTCAATTCTCCTATGTGCATGGATTCGAGATGCAATGTTGAAAAGACAACTCGCATCTCATCATGCCGACTGACCGAGGTGTTTTTTTTTTCCCCTCATCGAGATTTCACCACAAAACCTCCCGAGTACTCGGTACTTGGATGTGAAACTGAGTCATTCAGTCGCTTCGTATGTGCCCGGCTGAATAAGTCTTAAACGACGAAGCCAACCAAATCGCCGGGACACTGGAATGCTACCCAAGCTTGTCGAGCGTCGTGGCGAGGCAAAAAAAAAAAGGAAAAAAAAAAAAGGAAAAAAAAAAAAGGAAAAAAAAAAAGGAAAAAAAAAAAAAGGAAAAAAAAAAAAGGAAAAAAAAAAAGGAAAAAAAAAAAAAGGAAAAAAAAAAAAGGAAAAAAAAAAAAAAAAAAAAAAAAAAGGAAAAAAAAAAAAGGAAAAAAAAAAAAAGGAAAGTATGTGCCCGGATGAATAAG